CAGCAAGCACAGTTCCACCATGGCTCCTAATCCACCCCCTGCCTTTGCCGGCCAAGGTAGGAAGGGAAACTCAAAATATGAGCAGTCACATCTCTAATTCCAGGTCGTAGTTCAGCAAATCGTGGAGATGTAAGCATCGCTTCTATCGGGGGCCCCAATGGGTGCTTGAAATAAAACTACAGGGCTGCTTAAAAAGCTTGAGGCCAGAGTCCATATAAAGAGAACTCCGTTCCTACTGCACTTATCACCTCAGTACTAGTGCTAAAACAGTGGTGGCTGAAACGGGTGCAGGGCCATTACCAGGGCTGCAGTGCTTTAAAAGACCCAAACTGCTCCAAGACTTGTTAGCTCTTAAAAAGATAAACCACCTCCTCAATCAAGAAGACAACTTGATCACTTGAAACTTTGGGGTTTTTTTTTCCAGTTTTTATTGAGTGAAAATGTCAAACCTTGCATCAGTCATGCAAAAAAAAATCAAATAAATAAAACACATATATTAAATTTCTAATAGCACTAAATTCAAGTGGAAAAATATTCAGTTCTTAATAACGCAGGTGCTGAAGAGACCAGATTCAAGTAAATCAGAGCACACCATCCTGTTTAGGGTGTTTTTTTTTTCACTTTCTGCATTTTTGTCTCAAAACCTATATATATATCTATATATCTATATATATGTATATACATATAGATATATACACACACACATATATATGTGCATACATATTATTTTTATATTTATATATATACACATACATATTTATAAAACATTAAAAAGAGCATTGGTGGTTCAAGCATTTATTCCCCCCCCTCCCCCACGGAAAGAAAAAAAAACAACAACAAAACAAAAAAATTACACATTTAAAATTCAAAATGAGCTAGCAATGGCTTATAGTCCTAGTGTGCAATATGGATATTACAAAAGGCTAGAATCCTCCCTCTTTGTCTTTTTTTTTTATTTTTGTTTTTTAAAGTTTTTTTTTTGCTACATTGGAAAAATTTTTTTAATTTTTTTTTTTTTCTTTACAAAATTCCTTCCACACAGACTTTAATCCAGTTGAGTTTGTGGCTAGAATGAACAATCTAGTCAATAGTTTTTATTTTATTTCATCTGTTTTTGCTCTTCAGCAGTGAATGGTAGCAGAATCAGGAGGGTCCATCTCAAGGTTTATTTTGTTTGGTTTTTATCTTCTTTTGGACAGAACAGTTCCATTTCCTCTCTCCTCTTCCCCCCTCCTCATAGAGTTAGTTGAATCTCCCTCGCTTTCTCTGGTCATTCATTTAAGCACATTTCAATAGTATTGTATTAACAGTCCTATTGATATGATAGCTGGAAGTGAAAAAACACCTCGCAGTAATGGGGAGCTTTGTGCTGTTGAGGCCTTTGTTCAGAAAAGCACTTAAGCATGGGCTTAAACCCATGCCTGTTCAGAAAGCATCTGCTTAAGAGTTTTGCTGAATTAAAGCCTTAACATGGCAGAATCAAAAGACGGGTTTAACTTCCTTGACTTTTTGTTGTTGTTGTTGCGAATAGAGACATAGTAAGAGATTTACAGAAACAAGACTTGGAGAAGGTTGAGTAAGCTGTGCTCTGGGGGTAGGGCCAGCCTGCTGGGTGGCCCTGTCTGGAAGGGCAGGGTGGCCACTGTCCTGTGAGGGTCTCTGACCTGCTGTGGGGGTCAGGCCCTGCTCGGGTGTCGCATTTTTAGCAGCAGCCTGTTGGGAAAGAAATCTCATTCCCTGTGCCACCTCCCAGAGTAAGAATTGATAGACATTTGGGAGAAAGGCTGAGATGGTAGGGAGAAGTAGGGTGCCTTGGGGGAGAAAATGGTGTGCATAGATAAACACAGGCCCTTCCGGCACGCTTACTCACACGGAAGGACATGTGAAACAGGGCCCCGTTCCAGCGCGGATCCCGGTGCCGTTGCACTGGCCGCACCTGCCTAAAGCTGCCTCCTGGGGTGATGTGTTACGTCCGGCGCCAACCAAAGTGGGCCAGCGTTAGCAGAGCTACTGGTAGTTCTTTTACCCCTTTTCTCCACACACTTCTGCTTTCTCCCACTGTTGTGCAGTGATTCAGTCAGTGGGGTCTGGTGAGATATGAAAGGGGAGAGGTAAAACCACTATGTCCCAGTGCAGGTTCCCAGCTCACAGCAGCAGGGAAAAAAATATCCTGAACGGAAACAAGCGGCCCAAGCGAGCCCCGTGCCTTGCCACTGAAACCAGACTCTCCCCTCGCCTTCAGTGTTAACAATGCTCACAGGCAGGTTTCATGAAACCTTGCAGGATGTTGTATTGAAGGCAGCAGGCTCGATCCTGCTCCCACAAAAGAAGTCACTGATAGACATCATGTTGATTTCAGTGGTACAAAATAAACACATCTGTTTTGCAAGATGTGGCTTGTGTTACATCCAAGGATTCCTCTTGGAGCCCATCACCATGCTATCTAAGTAGTTGAATATGGGAAAAATGTACAAGTATAGAACCTGCAGCAAATGCCATTACAGTAAAATCTTTTTTGCCCCATCCCATTTCTAGAAATTCCAGGGCCTCATTCCCTCACTCTGCCCCAGGAACGTGAGCTTCATTATATTCAAGAATGGGGTTGTGCTAGAAAACACGCAGTTGAGGGCAGGGGATATACCAAACAAAACAAAAACAAACAAAAAAAATAAAACCCTATAAAAATAAAAGCCACACAAATAGCTGATAGAGGAAAAGAACTCCAAAGAATTAAATATACTACAAACTAGTAATAACAATATTTCATTTGTTTTGTTTTCATTTGTTTCATCTCTACAAAATTCAAGTTAGAATTCGGAATCGTGCAGCTCCGGTCAGTGCTAAGAGTGTGAAGTCAGCCTCAAACCGTAGCATTAAGGCTCCCCCCCTCCCCTGCCACCCCCTACAAACAAACACTACATTGAAGAAAAAAAAAATTAAAAAAAAAAAAAAAGGAGAAAAAAAATTGCACACAATTAACCATATCTAAGGGCTGTCCAGAAGGCAGGTGACCCCCCTCATCCCCCTGGCATGGGTGGTTTCTCTTTTGTTCTATATATAGTAATAACCTTTACAGGAAAAATACTGTACAACTTTTTTTTTTTTTTCCTTTCCTTTTGAAACATTATCTGAACATTCTGTCCCCACATTTACACAGCTGAGCTGCTTGTTTATAAATCAGACCTGATCTGCACCAGTTCCTTAGGGAAATAATTAAAAAAAAAAAAAAAAAAAAAAAAAAGCAACCTAAACTTCTTGAGGCCTTTATCTGTTCAGGGTGAAAACAAATTATGGGGATCCCTTGGAGCTGAAGTGCTCATGGAGTTGGGGGGAGGGGGTGCCTGCATGACATTAGAAAAAATAATTCAGTGGGTTTTTTTTTTTAAAGAAAGGGACAAACTTCAGACACAAGGAACCTTTTGCTAGGCTGGTATACTTACAAACTGGCACTGAAATAACTATTATCAGAATTAATTCATACAGCTAGTCCTTCTGGAACCCAGGCGTATGTAGACAAGCGCTCTCTCAGACTCAGGCAAGGATTTGGGGTCAAACAGCTACTGTCTCACCTGTCAGAGCCTGGGACAGTATCCTGTAGTGTGTGTTCCCAGACTGGGCTGGGAAAAGGGCACAGGGAAGAGCTTGTAACCAGGGGAAAGCCCAAGCTTCTGGAGGTGGCAGGTCTCAACACAGATAGTCGCATTTGCTTATGCCGTGCCCAAGCTATTAGCCCCACCTGGCAAAATTTATAAGCATGGACCCAGAAATGCATTAATTCTTAGCAGGACTACATCCTGGCCTCAGCTAGCATCTCCCCCGTCTTTGAGTTCTTTGTGCTGCAGCAGCCTCACGTGTTGCAGCTGCAAAAGCCATGACTGGGCCAGTCGCTACACAGGTGCTGCAGAACAGTGTTGTCCCCCCCTCCCCGCCCCAGTGCTGAGGCAGAGAGATCCCCTGGTCTGAGCAGGACATCCCACAGTGGGATCCTGAATGTTTGCCTGCCTTCTCCTCCCGCTTCAGCGGTGCCTTCGCCCTCTCCCAGAAGTCACCAGAGATCCGTGTCGGTCCACGCAGAAAGACAGACTTGCCTATCCCCAGTGAAAGGCTGGGGACGAGGGCTTGGGGACATACCTGTCATTGTACGACTGCTTGGGTCAGAGAGCAAGTAGTATTTTCAAGGCTGCTTTAATGGAGTGTCAGCTCACAACCTCCTGAGATGGGGATACTGAAGCACCACAAAAACTCCTCACCCTCAACAGAGGGGAAGCACCTGGGGGTTGGGATGAGATGGAACTGGATGGGAGATTAACCCCAGTCCTCCAGTGTGACAGACCCTCGAACTGCCCGCTGTGTTCTTTCCAAGTTACTTCAGCTAAATCCCTACAGGCAGAACAGCAGGGATGAGGAGAGGTTTCCTACAGAGAAAGTGTAGACTGAGAAAGTTTTACAATATAAATAGCATTCAAAATTATTATCATTAATAGTAAAAAGGATCTGGAAGAACAGAGGAGTGTCCCATTCCCACCCCTGCTCATTCATTAATGCGTCCTCATTTATGTGACAATAAATACCCACTCCCACCCTTGCTGTCTGATGCCATTCATTTAATGCTGGAGAAAGAAGGGGGGAGGGGTGGAGAGAGAGAGAGAGTGCACACCCCTCACCCCCTCCTTCCCACTGGCAAAAGCTGAGCTAGTTGTCTTCGTGACACCAATTCCTTGAATTTTATATATGTGTGTGTGTGTGTACATTATATATATAGAGAGAGACACACACACAAATATATATTTCTAAAATTCATTACCTGTTGTTCCCACCCACCCCCCTCCAAGAAGTGGAGATTATTATTAGTATCGTACAACTGAAAACATGGAAAAAAATAAAAACCCAGAAAGAAAAATGGGGGGATAGAGCCCCACCCATAACAAAGGGTCCCCAGATGGGCACAGGCCCCACGCACCATGCAGGGAGCAAGGAAAAGCAGCTGGTACCCTCAAGGTTCATGTCCATATAAAAGGGTAATTTTTGCTGCATCCTGCCCCCATGTTCTGTGATCTGCAGCATGAAGCGATGCAGCACCAGTCCTGCTGCGAGCCTGTCTCTCTCTTATGGGGCCTGTGGAGGAGCATGGGTTTCCTTCCTTCCTCTCTCTTTCTCTCTCTCCCCCGTGTGTGGCATGGAGTTTGTTTTTCACTTGCCATCCCAATCTTTGTTCTTGCCTCATATGGGGTCCTCTTAGTAATTCTGTGTAAGAGCAAAACCAAACCACTGCCGCTATTGTCTCTAAGATTAAGGAGAAGCTGCTGGAGCAACGGTAGAGGCTGGGGCAGCAGCTGGAGCTGGAGCAGGAGTTGGGGCTGGAGTAAGGGCTGGCTCGCCCTGTGGCCTGGAAGCATCGCCATGGTCTGTGGAAGAAGCAGCCTCCTCTGGTTCTCCATCTTCTTTAGTGGCCAGGCCCTCAGGGTCAGGCAGCGATTCTTCAGAATCTGTGTTCAGGTCTTCCTCTTCATCATCCTCCTCATCGTCATCATCATCCTCCTCCTCTTCATCATCCTCCTCTTCTTCATTCATCTCCTCCTCATCATCCTCTTCATCCTCTTGGGAAGAGTCATCCTCGTCCTCCACATCACCAGAGCCAGATGCCACCGCCCCCCTCTCCTGAGGCGTGGTCCCAGCTCTGCTCGGTGACGGACCTTCAGTGACTTCTGACTGCTTCTTGCTGAGGTCCAGGGAATCGTTGAGGCCCACGCCAGCCGCATTCTGCAGGAAGAAGAGGGAGCTGTTGTTGTCAGTGCTGAGGTTGAGGGAACTGTCCAGGTTGATGGAAGAGTTCTGGATGTCATACTCAAGAGTGGAGTGGGCAAGGCCCTCAGGGCCAGGAGAGATGGCAGGAAGCTCCCCTCGCTCCTGCTTCTCATGTTTGCGCTTGTGCGAGTCCATCTGTGACATGCCCACCACTGTGTGTTTGCAGCCAGGATAGGTGCAATGGAAGTGGGAGCACTTGAGTTTGTACTTGCAGTCAGGCACCTCGCAGTCCACGCTTGAGCTGAACTGGCAGAAGCCAGCAGCACTGATGACGTCCTGCTTGCCGTGGTGCTTACGGTGGGCTGTCACCTTAGTGCTGTCAGTGCAGCGGAAGCCACAACGCAGACAGTGGAAGTGTGTGCTATTGCCAGAGAACTGACAGTCTGGGAAGTTGCAACTCAGTGAAGACTTGAAGCGTTTGAAATCATCCAATACCAGGTTGTCAACACGATCATGATGCTGGGCGTGCTTATACATGTGGGTACGGCCACAGAACTTGTAGCCACAATTCTCCCGCGTGCAGTGGTAGTGGGTAACCTTGAGAGAGAACTGGCAGCTGGAGTCCTTGCAGTCCTCGTAGAGGTCATAGCGCCGAAATCCCTCCAGCATCATCCCTTCATCCAGCATCTTGCGTGAGGACGCGGTCTTGCGGCGCTTGCCAAAGGGGGACATGTCCTCAATAATCCAGAAACGCTTTTTGGCCCCCGAGGCAGTTGGCATAGTGATGGTATTCCCTGAGGAGAAAAAGCAAAGATTGGTGTTGCTGACAGCCGGGGCTCTCTTCATCTCCTAACCATCCTGGCAAACTCTGTATTTGCCAAGACACAATGCTGTAACTGTTCCCACCCAGCATCTCATCCCTCAAGCTCTAAGTAAGCCTGAACTCTGGGATTGTGGGCTGGTTAATGCCTGCTGGACATGGCTTCCTCAATTTTCAGCATATCCCACCTTGCCTGTAATTGCTGCTCTTGTATATTGACACTGTCCGAATGCTAACTCTTGCTTCTCTGTTTTGCTACTCTTACAGTTTCTCCTGCTGCTTAGTTAATCTCTAGTTCTATTTTCATCCACTCAGAAGAGCTGGTTTGTTCCAGTCCAAGGACTGAGGTGTTTCACTGTAGTTCACTGGGGTTGAAGTAGTAAAAGAGTTTAAGCATGCTAAAAACTGGTACGTGTATACTGTTTTCCCCTATCCAGGCTCTTGTAATACACTAAAATTGCCAAGGACAGGCAGGAAGTGAAGGAAGATCCCATGCGTGATTAAAACTGCAAGGGGGGAATTTATAGAAATAGGATGGACTTTGGCCAGGAGACTGCAACATCCCTCACTGTAATGAGCCTACATATTACGATGAGTGCACTTAGAAAGACAGATGGACAGATGTTCAATGGGGCTAATTCTCATCATCACTAGCCAGTGGACTCTGAGAGAAAATACCAGTTCTACAGCTTTCCCTTGGGTCTCAAAAATCACATGATGCCCCTAGTAAATAAAGAGCCCTCATCTATCTTCCACTTTCATTCACAGGGCCAGCATAACAGGCTAGTGCTCACGTCCCCTAGGATCAGACTGACATCAAGGACTCGACCTCATTATATCTATTAAGTTTTTTTTCTTCTCTGCTTGCTATTTCCAGACTCAACCCACAATCTCCAGTATCAACATGCAGCACAGACGAGGTTGGAGGCAAGAATTTCTCACCAGGTGCAGAATTGTGAGTGTAATTGGAAATTATAGCTTGCAACTAAAACATACTTCCCCCCCCCCCTTCATGCTGAAACTGCCATCCCTTTAAAAGAGGCGTGATTTGTGACACGCAGTGCCTGGGGCCTGAGAATCCAGAGCAGCTTGCATCCTTGTCTAAGAGACTAAAGAAAGAGTCATCTGTTTGACTGTTGTAGAATTTTTTTTCTGGCTGATAAGCAGGTATTAGAAGTGATGAATGCTGGTTTTGCCATATCTGGCCCTTCAAATAACAACCCTTTAGGAGAAGGTGGCAATCACTGAAGGAAGCCTCCAAAAGTTAAACTGGTGTTGTAGTGAAAGGTACAAGCCAATGGAAACGGTAGCAGCAACCTAATCTCCCACAATGTTCGCGTGCGCTATACAGATGCAGGATAAACAAAGAACAAAAGATTTTTTCCACACCCATTCGTTACATGGCACTTTTGCTCAGACTGCAAATAAGGACACCAGCTTGGGGCATCGATGGTGAGGCCGTGTTAGTGACATGTAGCTGGTGGGAACTGCACGTTAAGGCTAATTTAACCGGCTACCAAGGAAAGAATAACTTTCTGTCACTGTAGATTTTAAATTAGCAAGCTCTTAGCTATAGAATCTGTGACCAATTACTCTCTGCTCCGCCCCCCCAAACATCTGGTATTGTAAAATCTCATTCTCCGCTTCCAGGCAACTAGTGTAAGTGCATTGTTGCCTAGAGAAATCGCTGCTATCCAGATCAACTCCTTACTCCTCCTTTTAAAAAAAATGATAGCCAAACCATCAAGTCTTTTATCATTAGTATGGATGCTCATCTTGTCCACCTTCAGACCGGATAAGCCTTCTTAGGGGAAAGACTCTGGATGGGAAATCTGGGAAGTAAGTAGAACTCAAATTTTACCTGTTTTAAACTCAGTATATCTGCCTGGCTTTTACAACAGTTCAAACAAATGTGCTTAAAACTTCAGTTAAACCGATTTTGTTTTCTCACACAGGCCAAATTTCAGAGCAAGGGTATGAAAAAGGGATGATAACCTGCTAACCTCTCCTCCTTTAGCCACTGGGCAACATTGAGTCCCTAGCACCCAAGCAAAGGTCACAAGCCTCAACAGACATAATCCCAATGGTAAGTGCATGCCATAAGCTTGTCTTTTCAACTACTAATAAAGTAAACATTCCTGAGACTATACAAAGGTAAAAGGAAAAGAAACTTAAAAATCTATAATTAGAGGACAGCACAGCACAAGGTTAAGATGTTTCAGGTTGCATGCAAATCAGTTAAAAAAAAAAAGCAACAAAAATAGTTTCTTGTGAATTTTGTTCATCGGAACACACTCCTCTGGACAAGGCAAGGATCCTTCTCCTGCCAAGTCCCATGAGAAAAATGTGTGAACTTCCAAGTGGAGTTGGTCCTCCAGCCACACTCCCAACCGTTTACCTTGGACTTGCACATTACTAAAACTGGCAGGAAGAATGACTGGGACATTTGTAGGCTGCCAGAATCCTCTTAAGTGTGAACTTTAAGCAAAAATATGCCTCTAATTAACTAGAAAAGAGCTTGGAGTTGGGAAAAGAAGCCAAAACTGAGACACACCCTAAAAAACATTCCCAGCTGGAATGAGAATCTCCAGCCTGAGACATCTCTGATCTTAGTCACACATGGGAAACATGGAATCTTAAAACTAAAAATCTAGATATATTTTCTGCAGTTTTTAAGAGCACATGTAAATAACAGCAAGTGTGAGAAACAACCTGAGCTGTCTGATGATGTCATCGTAGTGACACTGACTGTACTTCACTCTGTTACTGGTGCTGGGGAAAGCAGCCCTGAATTTTATGGCTTCATATGTGAATAGGAAGCAGTGAAGCTTACAAGATCTATAAAAATACGGGAATGGGGTACCCTGTCAGACATTTAACTGCTGAGATGTGTGCACCAGACCATGGTAGGCACTGGGTTGGGTGGCCTGGAAGTTCTAAACAAGAATTCCAAGTCCCATTAACGCTACATGAGCAAAACTTTGCTTTGTGGCCACCTTGCTGTTATCAAGAGGCTGAAAGGGCATTTTAACTATGGATTTTGTTAGATTTTTCTCATAGTTTGCAATTGCTTGAAATTGCTCTCAGGTAACCAAGCGTCTCTCAAGGATTTGCTGTGGTTTTCGTTACCCTTTTTTGCTGTGGTTACTGCGTCAGCAGACAAAAGGAGTAGGCATGGGCGGGCCCTTGTACAAAGTTAAATAAGACACAGAATGACGTATGCTTTTTTACTGACCCAAAGGTGCAGAGAAAAAAACGTGGCCAGGGTGAGTGGGGAAGGAGATGGGCACAGGACACTAAGAGAGAAAGTAAAGAAGTGTTACCTGCTGCATCCTGAACTAAGGGAACGTCACTTTTTACTGGAGTTGGAGTGGCAATGATGGGCGAAAACCCAGTGGTGCTGGCGGCAGGCATGACAATGCCTCTGCTGGATCCAAGAGTGGCACTGAGCAGAGAGTATGAGAGACAAGATGGAGAGAAGAGATAGGGGAGGGTGGGAAGGGGAGACCTAAGCAGGGCTTGTGAGAAAGATGGAGGCAGAGATGGTGGTTGAGGTTGTGGTGCATTGTGGGTAGCATCATCAGCAGCGGCAGTAGCAGTAGAAGGAACCAGGCAGCCTGGAGAATGTGGAAAGAAAAAAAAGCAGAAAAAAAGGAAAAAAAAAAAAAACAGAACAAAAACAAAACAAAAAAACAAAAGAACTGAAATGAGAACCCAAGAGCAGAAGCAATATGATGAAAATGGAAAATACATTCACAAATGTATGAAACAGAACTGTAACAGAGAAGAAACAGAAGGTGAGGAACTGACAGCATCAGGAAGAGGAGGGTTGTCTCTGCAGAAGGTAAGGTGGCCTTAGTGGCATGGGGAAAGAGCCACAGGCTTCCATGCAGAAATTCCTGCTTGTTTGGTCCCTGTTCATCTCTACGGTGCCAGCTTGTACCATCTAATGGCTGCAAGAATGGTCTTACATTTTGGGCGGGTGGAGTTGCTTGCCACCTGGATAGCATGGGGGGCCATTTCCTAGGAAGCGTGACTCGGGCCAGGCGGCGTACTGACAAAGGAGGGAGTGCCAGGAACCACTGTCCCCCCAGAACTCTTTGGAGGAGCTTTAATGTCATGGGGCAACCACTGTCGTGACCCAGCAGTGTTCATACAACATATGGGTAGATGTCCTATATGATAACCTTCATCTAACTGGTGTGAAAAGAAAAGTAGGAAAATATGTATGAAATTAAAGCAACCCAAGTGAGGCCACCTATCTAGCACGTAACACTTAACTGTGGGAAGAACAGCTAAGAGATCCCTGGATCACCACTAGATGATAACAGAACTCATAAAAGATATCTGACTACTGAAAAGATAACCCTGTAATACAGGGCAGCGGGAGATGGCTATGCATTATCTTGGCAAACAGGAAACAACGGCAGAAACTTGCTTCCAAAAAGAGGGGATGATGGAGGTCCCTCTGTGCAACACTGCACAAAGTGGAACAAGAGTTTTTACACGAGGAAGGGAGCTCAGTGAGCTGCTTTTATATGTTGATTTCTGAAGACGTGGTAGGGCTTTTTCCCCTGTGTATATAATATTTGCTATTGTACAGGCTTTCTATATCTCAACAGTGTAGGAAAGTGCCTGACTTCAGATGCTGCACAAGGAAATAAAAGAAGATATCAGGGGAAATGCCAAGTACAGAACAGGCCCACTTTTTTTTTTTTTTTTTTAAATCAGTTATTAAAAAAAATCCAACTCAAAGACACAGGATAAAAACCTCTCTTCGGGGGAGAAAAAAAGATACACTGTTAGTTTATAGATGCTTGAGGTGCACATTTTGATGGATCTCTTCTCACAAATGATGGAGGGAGCTAGGTTAGTACAAGGCACTATTGTGAAGCTTGTACAGTTTATATTTTAAGGTGCAGTTGTCCTTTGGCCTCTCTTCATGAGTTTACCTCCCAAGAGAGCAGGCAACTGATGATCCATTCCACCACCCCCACCTTCTCTCTTACCTGCTGATGTACTTTCATTGCCCACTGGAGTGCTGGAGCAGCTGCGGTCCATATTGGAAGATTCAGAGGAGATACCCCCAGGGCTACAGCCAGTGTAATCCATGTACTCATCTGTTTCAGTGTCCATCATGCTTGGGGGTCCCTGAAAGGAAGCTGGGGTTCCTGATGAGGCTGGGCTGGGTGCCATGCTGCCAACCTGGGGGAGATTTTCATTTCTTGGAGTGTGGCCAATAACCTGCAGCAAGAAAACAGGACAGGGACTTTCACACCAAAAGCAAGATGCCAAGACCAAAACCATCTGTCTGCACGTTTATTTCTCTCTGTTCATGAGGGATAGCTGGAACATGCTCATCAGTGGAACCCATGGCATTGTGGCTGGGAGCGTGAGTCTTCCTTCACCGGGATCTCAGAGCATTCAACTTGGCACGTGTATCCTGGTATGTGAATTGTGATGTGCTCAGAGGCTGGGAGTGTTAATCTTGGCACCAGTATCCTGGTGTGTGGATTCTGATGCATTCAAAAACAGGAGGTGTTAATCTTGGCATTACTACCTTACTGTGTAGGTCCTGCTGCATTTAGAGACTGGAAATACAACTTCTGACATGCCTGTCCTAGAGCCTGCATGTTGAGACACTGCAACAGGGGAACACAGACTGAAACCAGTGACCTATGTGTATGCTCTGTCCCCATGCAGCTGTTGTGGCCTGGCATGGTCTTCTCTGGATAGTTACATGGGTAGGTACCCAGAAGCAATGTATATCCAAACACACCACTAAGTGCCCAGTGAGCACTAAGGAATGGGAAAAACAGGAGGCAGTGCATTTAAATGCAGAAAGGCAGTGGCAGTACAGCAGTACAGCAATCTGGTTAGCTTTGCCACATGCCCTGATTTGTGGTTTCGTCCTTGTTTTGTTGTTTGCTGGACTGCTCCATGGGCGAAGCACAGCAACAGAGCACAGCTAGCGCTGTATGCTCCCAGGAGTGCTCAGGCCATGATTACTACTTCTCCACTGCTGAAGTGAGATAGGATTGGCAGTGAAAGGAGATGGAGGTCAAAACTAGCATTTTCTGCTCAGCATGTACTACAATTCTTAGGGCTAGACTCAGCACGTACTAGAAGAGTCGTGAAGACAAATCTATTTGTTAAATTTCTCTTAAGTTCAATTCTTGTACCTAAGCTTTTTGCATTCATAACAAAAGCTACCACAACAGTAACACCAGTTCCTTGGCATCTGTGAACTCATTAAATCCAACAGCAGTAGACTTGAACAATTAACTTATTGACAGTACTTAATAACTAGTAGGGACCTCTCATTCCCATGTTGTGGAATGAAAGGGGGTTCCCATCTTGCTTCTACAGATGTTTTTCAGATACCAGAAGATGTCCTTAGGGTCAGATCAGTCACGGGCATTTAAAGCAAGCTAGCTTGTTTCATCTCCCAAGTCAATGGGAGTTAAAGCAACTAAGGAATAAGAACAAGCAGGAGGTTGCAGGACTGCTGCCATTCTGAGCAGCAGCTCAGTGCTGCAGTTGAAACTCTTCAATTTATTCATGGAACAGACAAACCTAATCTGCCAGTTGCTCTCAGTTATGTGTTAGAAAAGAAGCAACTGCATCACTCTGCTACTTCCCAAGAGGACAAGGAGTGCCCCAAACTAACTCCAAATCAGTAAGGGAAGAGAAATTTCAAGACTGATATTTCTCCCATCCTAGATGGAAGAAGCAAATAATTCTTTATGGGCAACAGGAAATGTTTGCTTTAACCAGTACATTCAATTCTTCCACATCCTAAGCACTTTAATTTTAATAAGCCAAATGGTGTACATGGAGAGAGCAGGGAGGGAGTGCAAGTTGTAAATATGAGTACTTTAGTGTTATCCTTCTTAATTTTTTCCTCCATAATTCACAAGGAAAAGCTGTTTACACTAAGTAATGCTTTCGTGTCTTATGCTTCGTCATCTTTCCTCGTATTGTAGAGAGCCAACCAGGCAAAACTGGCTTGGGTGAACTCACATATCCCAGTTGTATCCCCAGTGTAGACAGACATCCTTAAGAGTTTGGATAAGAGTGTCTTGGCACTAAAGCAGTTATGCAGCGACCAACACTACATGCGGATCTACAAATTAAAAAAACAGTGAGTCACCTGAGTAGGAACACGATCAAAGTTCTTCCCCAGCATCCTTCTCATGTGCTTTCTGGCGTGGGATGTCATTTGGTGCTTGAGCAGGAAGGAAAACTGGCAGCCCTCTCGAATGCAGTGGAAGTGGCTGTTCACCTGGTTGTATTTGCAACCTACAGACACAAAACCATTGTATGCAGTACGTGAAAGGTACCAAGAGGGAAGGGACTGTAGGGAAGGTGATCTGGAGACAGGACAAGGCTGCTACTACATCTATTTCTGGTGGACTGAGGATTATCAATGGTCACAGGTTCTTCAGGAACAGTCCTGAATGAAAAAAACACGATCTTTTGCCTAGTGAGCAACTGCAAGAGGATTACAATGTACATAGATTTAAGAAGTAAGCCTGAGCTGCAGAATAGTCCCATCCGTCTTTGTTTTGTTATAAAGCAAGGAACATTACCATTACAGCTGGTAGTGCCTAATGCTCTCCAGCCTTAGCTAGTGCCTTTTCCTTTACAAAGAGAACAAAATCAAGACATTTAACTGTATCATAGAAGTTACAATCGCAAATACACTCTCATAATTAGATTAGAAATGAAAAGTTCTTTTTCTATTTTTTCCCTTTAACTGTGCTCTCAGAAAAGCAGTCCCTTAAAAGCTCTAGCTCTGGACAATGTACGCTGTCTGGTCAGATAGAAATGAGCCAAGAAGTGCTGTTTATTGCCACTCCAAATTTGTTGTGTAATAGGGGCAGCTACTAAACAACAAGCAATTTATATGGGTTCTGGCATACAGCACTTGACACATTTTGCTCCTTGTGGATAGTGCCATGCATGCTGGGAGTTTGTGTATCTCATTAACAGACAATCCTAAACAGCTGCATTCTAAAGCTGATAAATAATGTCTCGTTGCAGTTAAACCACAGCTATATCAATAATCGGGTTCTGTCTGTTCTCCATCATCCCGTGGCCATACTCTTACACAGCTAGAGGTACAGACCCACAGCCAGGCTCAGTTTTACTCATCTATCAACCGTCTGTCTACACCCATCCACCTTTACTTATATAAGTATGTATTTTTCCCCTCTGTCTCTTTCTCCTCTCACCCCCCCACCCATACACATGTATATATTTATACACACACAAACATACATATAAAAATCTATCGCATGTGTTTGTTCAGAAACATTCACAATCCTTAAAGCAGGCCAGTGCTTTCTGCACCTGCTATATATACACATATGCAACATAAAAAACACAGAGATGTACAGAGAAGTAGACATGCATTTACATGTTAGTATAACCATATACACCTACACGAACACATCCAGGCTACACCATCCCATCATGCTGCCTGTATCTATATAGACAAATGCCGAATGCTGGCTAAAAGTATGTTTATGCACAGCCAGCCCAACCTATAGGCATATGTACATACTGCTGGACGTATGTACCCCATCACTCCCAAAAATAAACACTGCTGACACATGCACAGCCTGTAGATGCCTCGCTGCCAAACAGCTCCTGAATCACCCAGCCCCTCTTTAGCTCACAGATAGCGTTTTATGTGCATGCCAAGTTTATGTTTGTATCACGTTGCGCTGTTCTTTGGGATGGAGAACAAACAGTGCTGGCAGGACTGAAACAGTATCAGCAAAGGGCAGGTGAAGGCTCGCCTGTTGCTAGGGCATCGGTGTAGGCTGGGTGTCATATATCATTGTCCTGCTTTGTCTAGCCCCTGCTATCACCTGGAACACCTAGAGTTGAGTAAATAACAGCAACTGCTGAATCTACTGACATGTGTAAATGAGACCTAGGTAAGTACTGGCTGTGGTGTGTTGACACTCATTACCCTGGTTACACAAACAAGCTACCATTTGGGTATAAATTCTGGATGTATTCAAAGCTGAAAAGTTTTGTTCTGGTTATTGCAGCTGTTTCCCTGTAATTTGAGAGAGCAGCACCCAGAAGTGCTATTCTGAACCCTGCTTTGTTTCAGCATTTCTTCCAACCAGGAGTGATAGGGAAGACTGGGTCTGTTAAGCCAAAACACATCTAGAAGGGTTAAGTGAATCCCAGGCAGTTCAGGATAGAGCTCTGCTGGAGTAATCTTTAGGGAGTCACCCCCAGTTCAAAGCCCTGGATTTCAGCTCTAGATACCTCTCTGGGAATGTATTCTACTTTCTGTTGTGTGTTTGTTTTACCAGCTTTATACTAGAGGCACTTAGATTTAATAACTACTGCAGTGCTGCTAATAGTTTTGGCAAGTGGGCAAGCCACAGTCTGAGGCTGTGCCACATCTCCGGTGTTCCTTTAGGCTGTGTTCTGGTGGAAGGCTGGCACAAGGATGCAGTGCTGACACATGCTGCTCACAAGTGGATGTAGAGAATGGTTTCGGAGGAGAAGGGAGTAAATTACTGAATGTTCTCCATGCCACTATCTCTGGTTATTTGCCCTTTGGCTTTCAATATGCTGTGCTGGCAATGACTTAAAAAAAAAAAAAATTAATTTGAAGCTGCCTGGAATCAGGCAAAGCAGCAACTTCCTTCATACAGGAAGACTTTCACATGAGGCACTTACCACAACAGGCATTTCCCCTATGCTTTTTTTTTTTTACTACTAAGAGCACCCTTAAACTCTACCCAAGAGAAGCAGTAGGCCCAAAAGACTACAAAGTACAAAAAAAACCCCAAAAAACCCCCCAAAAAAGGCCTTGAAAATTAGATAAAAAGGAAAAACAAAGGGGAAGTTGCATCTCCAGACAAACAACAAAAAAATAGATAGATAAAATTCTCTACAGTTTCTATCTATTTAACTTGGGTCTATTTGGGAAAACATGCTTCAACTCAGCTCAGGAATTGCTTTCTGTTTTGCTCCGTTTCTTGTTTAGTGATTTAGTGACCAAATACACTTTAAGCATAACTTGCAGGCTCTTAACTCATGGCATTCTAGCCTGGATGGGGGACAGACCACATGGGAAAGGTGACAGGGGAAAGAGAAGAAAACTCACCTAGTCTGCCACACTCTTCTCGCTTGGTAAAATACTTGAAGCCATTGGCTGCCCTTCTCTCTGCCTTCTCATGTTTTTTCACGTGCCAGGGCAGCTTGGTGGTGATGTTAGTCACAAAGTAGCAGCCAGGACGAAGACAGTGGTAATGCCCCCTCATCCTGAATTCACAGTGCTGGAGAGGAGCAAACAGGCAGGTTGCTTTAAGCATATTAGCAAATGCACTCTCATCTGCTGGCTACTAATGCTGTCCTCCAAGACATGAGAGAGGCCTGAACTGATACTCCAGATCACATCCATTTTGTCTTCCACAAGCCACAATGCAAACTTGTTCCCTGTTGTGTATTTTTGTAGTGCTGTCATATTCTGCACTGCACTAGTCTACATTGAAGTATCCCAAGCCTAACTCATAGCTTTCCCTGGTATTCATCACAGTTCTTTATTTTATTTCATCTTGTGGTCATTCTAGGTCATCTCTTAGGTCATTCTAGTTGCCTTGTCCATTTCACCCAGGTCAAAGAAACATAAAAGCAGTGCGATTTTCAATCTGACGGAGACCAAACATTTTGCTAGACCACATAATTAAGACCCTTCCATGGTTCCATAGTTAGACCAGGAATGAAACACTCAGCCTCGTTTCCTAGTGGGTAGCCTACTTGCTCTTTCCCATTCTTCTCCCGCACACATACACGGGCTAGAACACTGCTTTTGAATTGCTCTTACCTGGTTCGGACAGAGACACTGCAGCGAATAGTAAGCAAACTGGTCTCGCACATTCACCAAATTATTGTTGGGGTTGATGTGGTCCAGGCAGTGGGATTCTGCTTTGCCAGAGGTTTTGCACACATACTTGCAGTTCCCAAAGAGACAGTGGAAGTGGAATTTGTTGGCGTACTTGCAGTCCGTTGCCAGGCAGGGATCACTGGAATACATCCAAAACCCAATCATCACCTTCACTCATTTCACACATTTGTTTCTTTGCCAAAATGTAATTCAAGGGGAGCCCAGCTGAAGCCTCTGTTCCAAACACGGCCTACAGATTTCCCATAGCCACCTTTCTCTTTAGTAAAATTGATGCTGGCAACACTACTGCAATTCCACCAAGCTAGTGCACTTTCTTGATTAAGATTATTAAAATACAGCAATGCATGGTGGGTTCTGTAGTTTTTAGGGCCACACTTCCCATTTAAAGCTCTCTCAAGATCTGGATTGATGCTGTTTCTCACTTTCTGCCTGTATCAATGGGTACGGTTTTTCCCATTGCAACTTTGTGTACCTGAAATTAAACTCTTGCGCATGCACACTGTGGGATGCCAGGGCTTCCCCTGATTAGACAAAATCAGCAGTGGCCTGTTTAATCAGCTAAATGGGTTTGGTACCTTACTCCCCCCACCCATTCCATGGATTTCTGGCTGCACAAACAGAGGTCAAATTGGAGGTAGCTGAACATTGATCTCTTGGATCCCAAGCACTGTACCCAATGATACCTACTCAGATACAGGAAACAGAATGAATACACTCCTTTGAAAGTGGACAAATGACTGTCAGTAGACTACCCAGAGACCACCAGACTCCACCAGCCCTAGTATCTAAGCTGTAATGCCTAACCTGATCCTGGACTCCTGTGTCCTCCTGCAAACTACCTAACTTCTGTGCCTCTTTCTGTCTATGTAACAGAAATAACACCATCATTGCAGCAACACCGTGAAACTTCTTTAATGTTTCAAAAGAAGTTCAACAATGTTATCTTACCTGCTGCCAGACACCTCTATTGTGAATTACTTCATAACCTAACACTACAAGACCAGAGGCACAGAATTTCAGGAGACTCGTTACACTTGTGCCAAAGTTCAGCCAGGACAGCAAAACTTCAACAACTCTGAAGTGAGAGAGAATTGCTCCCTATTCCTTGAGCTGCTGAGAGACCCATTCCTGGTAAGGCAGAGTCCAAGCACTTGTGCCCCCTCCACTATCTGACCCCCAGTATTCTTCACTGAAAAAAAAAAATGCAGCTGTATCATACTGAGTTACAGATGGCATTCCTAGGAAAAGGCCATAGAGCTTACTGGGGACAAATCCAGGAGAAATCCAGCAAGCTTCCTTTTCAGCAGTCTGTGAACATCTACTCTGAGGTCTGTGTACTCTGCTGCAGTAACACCTCACCTTTGCATGACTGAGCACTCAGTTGCCCACAGATTTTTTCTCAAGTACAGAAACTCATGGCAAGTCTCAGACTTGCAGCAAGATCTGGAGGTGGGCTAGTCAGGTGTCATGCGGAAAACTTTAAAGATGCTACGCTTCTTCCGTAGCCTTCAGGGTCTAAAATACTGCAAAGACACATGTATTTCTGTACACCTCTCATGAGGTATAAAAATGCTTCAGTGATATGTCAGCAAGTTTATTTCTCCTTGAAACTCATACCTAAAAGTGCTCCCAGATGTACTCAAAAATCTTTTTTTTTTCCCTAGGATAACTGAAGGTATTTTCTAGACTTTATGAAAGTGAATTGTCTGTGAGATAAAGCCCAGAGTACTTCCTAGACAGAAGGTCTCTCAGTGGGTGAATACAGCTGTAGTACTACAGCTGTGAGGAGTGGTAAAGAGGGGATTGCAAGGCTGGAGAGGACACGAAGAGGCAAGCATCATCCACAACTTACTTCTCCTGGAACTGGAGAAATCCGGGTTTGACCTGAGGCTTGGCGTTCTCCAGGGAAGTCGTTGCCAAGGGCGAAGTTGCCAGGTTAGGCACTGATGCTGGGATCTGAGGCATCTGGGGTATGGTTGAAGCCAGCTGCTTCCAAGCTAGCAGTGTGGGGGCAGAGGGCACAGTAGCTGGACTTGGAGTGGGCACGTCAAGGGCAGGAGCACTTGCCATGGTGACAGAAGTAGCAGATGGTGATGAAGGGGCCAATGAAGCCTTATTCTCAGTAGTAGTTGAGAAGGGAGACTCAGAGTTACTTTTCACAGTTCCACCCTCAGTTCGGAAGTGAAAACTGCAAAAAGACAGGGTGATTCAGACATAAATTCTTGACCATTGCATATAACTTGATTAAACATCAACAGGAATGTGGCAGGAGTCAGCAAACAAATTAGCTGAGGTTAAATCCTAAAAGGGGCTCTGCAGACGTTGTGGAAAGATTTAGAGGCCTCCTAGACTGTCTGTGAAGAGAAGGGAATTAATTAAGAGGCGTGGAGACAGAAAGGTGCAGTAACATGTTGAAAATAGATGGAAGAATTGCTGCAGTCAGTAAGCTCAACATGCCTATGAGGGCAGCTTCCCATCGCTGTTGTGCAGTTTGTAGTAGCAAACCACAGGGAACTATCCGATGCCAGCAACCAACTGTGCTATCAGATCTTTCTGTCTTAAAATCTGCAATGTCTCCTTCCCTTTACACCTCTTCTGAATCAGTCATGTGGCCAGCTGCTGAAGGCCTCATTCATTCGTTACTCGGGCAAATCTTCCATTGCCTTTACAAGGAACACAGGGTGGTTCTGAACTGAAGACTATGCTCTATAGAAATTTGCAATAGGGAAAATTTCCAATATCCCACCTTGCCAGTCCCCTCACTGTAACAGTGGGAGCAGACCTTAAATTCATTCTTCACCCAAGAGTCATCTAGAGTTCTGAGTGTGCTGCACAGCCTCTGTAATACAGGCTCTATTATCTAGCCTACAGTTCTGGCTACCAACTCTGGGCCAGTCTGCTACTTTCCAAAATAATGTCAAATGAGAAAGGGTTTACAGTATAGAACATGGCAAGGTGAGGAGGAGGTTGCCATTGGGCTGGACAGTTTGACTGCTTCATTTCAAGATCCTTATCCACACGATGTGAAACTCTTAAACAAAACCATATAAACTAAGGGCTAGGGGAAACTTGTTAAAAGACATTTGTCATGACAAGACAAAGAACAATAAAATGCTTTCTACACTCCAGTGATGGGGAGCTCCGTTTCTGGAGCTCCACAAAAGTCTCCATCCTGTGACAATGGTTGGGTTTACAGGATTCTCTCCTTCCCCCATTTTCTTATTTATTTGTATGGCGTATTTGTGCACTGTGAAAAACATGGGTCTCCTTGAACACACTGCCAAGTAGGCTATGGAAGAACACATATGTCCAATTCTCAGCCTTACCAACACTGTGAGAGACACCTCTTTTCCATAAGTTGAGCACATTTATTGTGAAATCGAATTAAAGAGGACATAGCGTGCTGCAAAAATCTTGGCTGAGCACATTTACACAGGAAGCATGTGGGTGCCCAAATTGCTGCCGTCAGGACTGCCCCCGTTCCTGCTCTTGAACAGAGTCACTCAGTAAGGTCTCTCCCCTGCAGTGCGTGTGTGTAGAGTTTTCTCAAGGTTTCCCAACTCACGCTCTCCTACTTACTTGGCATGCTTGATGGCTCCATCCAGGGTGCTGAAGAGGGCACCGCATTCCTCCACCACACAATGGAAATGCACCTTATGGAGAAAGTCGCACTGTGCATCGCAGAAATCCTTGGTACCAAACCTGGCCAAAGCAGACAAGCAGGCATCTTATGGAGGGCCCCAGAAGAGAAGCAGTGTTGGAACAGACATATTTTCTTTGTTTTTCAACTCTACTACCATTCTGTTTTCTAACATCACTGTCTGTACTGCACAAACAGCGCTGCTGGCATTGTTGCATGATTAGTGCCTGTTATATAGATCTGAACATGTAGAACAAGAACCCAATTTCTCTCCAATTGAACTTGACCAAGAAACTCCCATTCACTTTTAGTGGGAGCAAGATACAAAACTACTCTGAAACAAAAGATGAAAATCATTAAGTGTTCTGGAGTGCCTATGTACAAAAGCCAATGCTCTGAGAAACAAGCAAAGGTTAGCAAATTAAGGGAAATCCAGACCAAGAGGACACTGCTGAAACATTACAGGTTGGGTTTTTTTTCTGTTTCAAGCTACTGGGAGTAGCAAAAGGGAAGAAACAACAGTGGTTCAAGGGAATCTAGATCCACCTTGAAACAACAGGATATCACATACATGGGAGAGACAAAGTATCACCTACATAGCAATTACAGCCTAGTGTGCACGAATACCGAAAAGTGCAATCCCTGGAGTACAGAAGAAACAATGCTGAAATGCAAAAAACAGAGCAAAAGCCATCATCTAAGATATGCCTCCTGTCATCTTGGAGGAAATGGTCAAGAGAGCAAAAACAACTCCGCAAGGTTTCACTGGTCATCCACTGCTGAGATTCTCCAGGCTTAAGAGCAGCACAAATACATGTGATTTCAGGAAACTCCAGAATCACAGGGAACTGAGAAATCAAGTGAAAAACAGTGGCAGGAAGGATTTGAAACTTAACAGGGGAATCTTGCATAATTAAGATACAACAAACTACAATTGCTCTGATGAGCAGGAAAGCAAGAAACAAACAGCAGCCCGTGTGGTCCCAGGAGGGACCTCTTCACAACTTGAGGGTAAAGGAAAAAGAAAAAAAGCTTGCACTGGAGAAGGAAGGTCAGTGGACACAGAATACATGCAGTCAGTTAAGGCTTGCAGGGAGAAGATGAAGTAAAGGTGCAGTAAGACCATAAGACACAAAGTTACTGTAAGCTAAAAGGGTTGTTTTATCAGGGACAAGAGGTATTGTCCTTAGAAAGAAGGTCCTATAAAAATGGGAGGTGATGAGTCAAAAATGGCTACCTTATAAAATTTGCTTTGGATAGGAAAACTGAAGACAAAGCAGACAATTAGGGATAAAATGAAGACCTTCTAGAAGAGCAGATAAAGGGACTGGTTGAAAAATATAAATATGCACAAATCAGCCAGTCTGGATGATGTATGTCCTGAAGTGCAATGGAAATTAACTCACAAACTGATTGCATTACTATTTGCTATTTTTTAAGCCATGGAGAAGAGGGAGGTACTAGGAAAAAAAGAAAATATTTTAAAAACTAGGTACTGATTCTTTCAGGGGAAAAAAAAAAAAAGACAAGTGATCTTTGGCAATTATCATACCTCTAGTCTTAACTTCTCCTTCCAGTAAAGTAATGGAACAAATATTAAGAGGGAGGAGAAAATCATTAAACATCTAGAGGATAAAGGAACCATGAGCAATAAACAGCATCAGGATTATAAAGAATAAATCTTGCCAGACAAATTTAATTGCTTTTTTTGATAGAATTACAAAATTAGTGGATGAAGGGATGCAATATATTTGGATTTTAGTAAAGCATTTTGATACAGTCTCACATATGCTTAGAATTAATTCAAATTGGCCTGGATGTGAATGCTACCTCATGGACTGAAAACTGGCTGAAGGACCGTAAACAAAGGCTAATGATAAACAGCAACGTATTGAGCTGGGAGGAGGTATCTTGTGAATGCTGCAAGGATGACTTTGGTTAGGTCTGAGCTTATTTAACATCTTCATTAGTAATCTAGGAGAAGGAGTAAACAGCGTGTTAATGAAATTCACAGAAGATACTAAACTGGGAGGAGTTGGCAACACCAGTGCAAGAAGAGAAAAACAACACAGAGAGGCCTTGCAAGACAAGGGAGAAGGTTCAGAATACAAGAATCATATTTGGAAACATGCAGCTAATACATCTGAGGGGCAGGGGGTGTATTTTTATACATGGGGGACTCATGAGAGCACCATTAAAAGCAATCCTGTGTAACAGTGGATGGTAAACACGATGCATATACATATGCAGTATAGATGCAAACAAGGTAGCACAATTGTGAGCTGCATATATGGGAGCAGGAAGCTCGTTATGTCTGGTGTGGTGATATAGGAATGGCAGCCCAGTTCTGCACCCATTCTGGGAAAAGCAAGAACGACAACAGCAACAACATCAGCAGCAGGCTGAAGGGACTAATTTACAAAAGTCAGATTAAAGGAAGTAAATAAGCTTGGTTAAATGGTATGCTAAAAGTCTGTGACTATCTGAAGGGGGTGAACTCCAATTGCGGAGAGGAATTATCTGCTGCGGTTCAAGGGGATATAACCAGGAGAACTGCAACAGAATTACAAAAAGGGAGATTCAGGCTGCATACCATGAAAAAAATTGTGACAGTGAAACATACTGGGTGGTAGAATAATGCTCCCAGAGACAAGAAGATAGCCACACTGCTTGGCATAATTAAAACTAGGCTGGACAAAATGCAGATGGACTGCAGGGAAGGATCTCACACTGGCCAGGGGCAGATGGACTAGAAGACTTTCTAGTCTTCTCCACTGAAGTCTGTGATTTATGAAGCGTCCACAGGCATTTGTAGGCAACTTTCTGTGTCGGAGCACAAACCCATATGTGTCTGCCTGGGTGTATCTGTGTATACTCAAAGCATGTGTCTGTCTGGGCATGTATGTGCATGCATCTGTGTGTGGGTGAGTTTTGTATCTGTTCCATTTTCCTTTTAAGCCTCCTTGTCTACAACAAAACCAGCAGAAACAATCCCAATTCCCATACCCCTTTATAATCCTTGTTTTCTTTCAGTGGCCTACTCCTGTGATCAGACGAAATGCATTTTAAGGCTTCTGTGATCTGTGTGCAACAACTAAACATGGTCCAACAGAAGTTCAGTACTAAGAGCAAGCTGCAGTGGGGATGTAAAGACTTGCAGATTAGGGATATAAAGAGGAATCTGAGATAAAGTCTAGGCTTAACAGTACTATGTGAAGACCTGTGCTCATAGTTGGCTCTCAAGATCCTTTTGCAAAATAATTCTATGATATTTCTTACAGGACATTGACACCTACTGCAGCCAGCCGGGACTGAGAGCTATTTAGTCCTCCAGAAGGTGATCAGCACATCACAGAATCAGGCCTTTAAATCCAAGAGAAATCTGTATTCAAGTGTCAACTAACGAGCCAGACACTTTGCAAAGGAAATAATTTTCCCTTTCCTCTATTCCCCGTTCCGTGCTCTCCTTACCGGTGCAGGTACATCTTCCATGGCTCAGAGAGCTTCTCCTGGACAAGTGCCTTCACTGCCTTGCCCAAGTACTGTGTTGGCTCTCCAGCCCCAGCCTGGCTGCATCTGGAATAAGAACATAGACACTGCATCAAGTCCAGTACACAGCCGTGGACACTGCCAGTCCGCATATGCTCAGGATTGCCCACGGAAAGCTGTGTCTTCAAAAATTAAGACAAGAAGTCTCCACAGGCTGCCTCAGATGCATCAGCAAAACTTAGTAACACCTCAGTCTTCTGCATCCCTCACCCAACTACCACAAAGTACTCAGGTGCCCATCAATTCAATATTATTTCATATTAATTCATGGCTCTTGTGTAGAGTAATGAAGCATCATGTCTATTTTATACATGGGGAAGCTGAGGTGAAGAGAGACATACCTTGAGTATAGAAAGTGTGTAGGCTTAAACATTAATAACCCTATCTAGGTCCTATGCAATGCTGGTCTCTTAGTACAGAGCTGGTGATAGAACCAGTAAGCTCTAGTTTATTTAGAATCATCTTATCCCAGCCACAAGGATGTCTCCTTCTCTAAAGTGACTATCAGTTACGTTTGGGGAGGGAGGGGGAAAATCTCATTCAACTGGGGAAAAATTCAGGCTCCACTTAAGTTCCTGGAAAATTCTTACTAACTTCAATAAAGAAATTCTGTCACTTTCTGTGCTAAATGGACATATCCTCCACAAAGCAGGACTTAGACTCACAATTTGCCTTGCGTGAAAGGCTTCAAACAGATTCTACACAGAGAAGGTTTAGAGGTCCAGGCGTATGATGTGCAGGACAGAAAAAAGAAGTTACTTGAGTGCTTAGAGAGAAAATTTTCTTTCAGAATAAATGCAATTTCCCAGACCCTTTCTTGCTTTGTTGTGCTCTCAGTTACCTCCAGTAACAACGGTGAAATTCACAGCATGAATAAAATGCAGGATTGGGCCCAATACTTGCATTATAAACTCCACCCACTTGAGGATCTTGAAGCCCTTTATAAATATCAGTTAATTAAGCCTGACAGCCCCCCTAAATAAACTGCAATACGCTACAGGAACCCTGGCTATTTGAGGCTCTCTTAATGCCCCCTGAAGGTAAAGCCCCTGCTGCTAAGTGGAGACTGCAGCTCTTTATGGCTGGAGTCAGAAATTCAGGTCGTTGTTTTCCACTGGTGTTTGCTGGGCATTCAATTTCTTAAAGCGTTCTTTTTCCTAGATAAATAATGAAGGATTCCTCCACAAACAGAAATTGTGTGCAGCAAGAGAAACAAGCATGATATGTTCCTGAGCACACTGAGCTTGATTCTGCAATTCTTAGTCTTGGAAAAGGCTCCTTCAAATCGGAGGCCTCTATTCTTTCCTGGTTTATGTCATTGGTTAATCTCATTCCATCTTTAAAAAAGGAACAAACCTGAAGAACTCGTATTTTGTACCTGTGCTACACTTATTTTGCACAACATAAAGAATCTTATGCAGGGCTGCACACAAACAAATGCTTATTTCTAAGCATATGCTTAAATCTCATATTCTGGAGATTTTCAAGTGAAGTATCTATTGAAACAGAATCTCCCTCAGCTGGAGCCTTCAGAATGACCCAGGACCCCAGACAGCAGACTTACTAAATAAATTTACTCACTAGAGAAAGAGCTGCATATTTGGAATCACTAAAGGGACAATACACAGGAATGAATAAGAAATTAAATTTAAAAGGGAACATCAAAATCCCAGTGTAACAGAGAGCCAATGGAGGAGAAAAGTGGCATAAGGATAAATGCAGAAATTAAACACAGAGAAGAAAGAGTGATGAAATAAGAGAGAAAGGAGGTGAGAGATTACTAGGCAAAGTCACTTTGCCCTCTCTTGAGGGTTATATGGCCTTGATGCATGTAACGCCCAGAGCCAAGGGGATGGCAATAGTTATGCCTGTAAAACCTATCACACAGTAGAATATTAAAGCATGGCTCAAAGGCTGCCCTGATCTCTACTGCAGTTGTATACAACAGCAAAATTAATCTTGGTACAGTAGAATTTATCATGTGAAAGGGAAATACATATTTGAGATGATGTATAATTTAAGAAAAAAGTAAAGAAAAAGAAACCGTGCATTATCTAAAATAAATATTATAGAACATGGTAAAGGGGTCTCTGTTGGACACCATTACTCACACCAGAAAGACAGAAATTGATGATTTTGGCTCAAAACTTCTAATCTTTTTCTTCTTCTCTTTCATAAAAACAAATTATTCTCCTCCCCCACCCCAATGAAAGAAAATGTTTTAAAGTAAATAAACAAAATGAGTAACTATAAAAAGAGAGCGAGAGAGAGAAGTTGCCAGGTTCTGGAAATAAAAATGGGGGTTGAAAAAAAAAATATCTTGTGGAGCCCTCCTCTGTCTAGAAAGGATGAAGGGAAAAAAAAAAAAAAAAGGTGTCAGAGGCTGCAATATATTTCTTCAGCCAGTTCATTAAATTAATTCGTAAGCAGTGGCTCTGAAATTATACCCGATGAAAAATGGTCTCAAAATTTAAATGGTACAAACTCATCTTATTAGAGGCAAAACATTAAAAAACAAACGCATCTCTTCCCCCCCCTCCCCGCCATCGCAGCTTTAATTTCTCTTGGTGGGGGGAATGAAAGGAGTTTGATGGATGGCTCTTACCTTATTCATAAGCGAGGATAAAAGAGATGAATTTGCCGAGACTGTGTGGCCATTTGATTCATTACTGGAACACACAAACCAACAGGGTTTAGTTAAGATGTGCACAGGGACTGTGAGCACTGAGATTAATCCTTCTCCCTTCAAGCTGCCTCACTCCTCACCTGCTACATCCGGAGGAAGAGAATGATGCCCAGCCTCCCTTGGGCAGGCCAAACTCTTACTTGTGATAGCCAATCATGGAGAGAAAGGGTCCCAGGTTTGCAGAATTTAGTTCTTTCAGCTATTAAACAGTCCAGACCTCTTCCTCCGGTGTCCACACCATCACACCTTTTTATTAGCTGACTCACAACCCACCCCATGTTTTACTCCTTCATCCTGTTAGAACTTTCAAAAATATGCCACACAACCAGGAGGGATGCTGACAGAAAACTCATATTGCCAGCGACACAGGCCCCCTTGGCAGCAGAGAAGGAAAGACAACGATCCTTATGGCCAGGATGAAAGGCAACCTCAGTATTTCACATGCATTCGTTATAGTTCTAGTTGACTGCAAGTGCTGGGGTCCCAAATTGAGGCTTGTTTAAATGAAGTATGGAAAGGAATGTATACAGAGGTCAAAGCGGATCAGGCTCACTTATGCCTGGAATCAGTTCCTCTGCAGTTTTACACTCAGGACAATTCCCCAGCATTACTATTCTCAGTAAAGACGCTGGACAAGTAGGACACACGCTTTGAGATAGGTGCATTGATGTCTGCACAAGTGCAAAGATTCACCACCAGAACTACAGCTTAGCACACACCAGACTCAGACCAGAGTTAGCCTGAAACCCAATTATTTTGTGTGTCCAATTTCTCTGGAAGGTGCCCCTCTTAGACCTGATTCAATGCCCTATTTACAACAGTGCAAATGCTCCTGCTAAAAGCATGCTGAAGTGTGGCACTGGAGCAGCCTTCAAAAAAAAAAGCAGGAATATCTTAAGTGAAAGAAGGAGCTTTGCCAGTGGCTCATTTTTCAGAAGGGAGCACAAGAAGTGGGGCTTTTGTCAAAGAGTCAGTAGGTGCATGTAAGCCCCCCAAAAAGTCTGGAGAACATCCACTTGAGGGGGAGTAGAGAGAGCCTCCCTGCCTCCAGTTTGGAGGTGTCCAACTCAGCCACTGTGAAATTGCCTTTCATCAACATGTTGTGTCCTCTCACATTACAGGTATGGAAACTTCTCAGAGCTTGATGCTTAGACAGAACTAAGTGTGCCTGCCTGCACACGTCTCTCACCCATGATCCTTGACGCTCAGGTCCAAGCTGTGCTCCTGCAAGGAGTCCTGGCTGGTGGCAGATGATGATCCCATGGCCTCCGCAGGTTCCTGCTTCACCTGAACTGGATTGAACCGTCCGGGAGCTGCTGGTTGTCCATTCCCTGCTTGAGAAGACACAGAAATTAAATGCAAAAATTAAATGAAAACTGTAGGTCTAAAATGAGGTTTCAGTGGGAAATAAGTTAAATCACTAGGACCAGTGCATAAGTGGAAAAAGCAAAGAAAAAGTGTGGGGGGAGGGAAGTGCTGGGATTGCTGGTCAGCATTTATTGCCAAGCTGACATGATGGGTTCTGACGTCCACTCCAGCGTGGAAATTCTTCAAGTGATAATTATTGCAAAATTATGTCAAAGTTGTCCAGGCTATGGGCCCTTTAAAGGAGAAGGGCGGAAGGAGCGTGGGGGAGACCTGATTCCCTGCACAAACTGTCATAACTAATTTGCGGGGCTGCCTCTTAAGCGTTTATTAAAGACTCTGTTAATGCTGAGGCAATGTGGCAGCTTTCGACTGCTAGTCAAGCCCCCTTCCTCGTCCCCAACCCCAGCGTTGCCGTAGCGACAGCGATGGCCCGCCACTGCGCCTGCCCAGCAGGAGCATCTGCCCTGTCAGGGCTATCGAAGGTGACAGCCAATGGGATTGGCTCAAACTGCATGGCCTCTTGCCACTGCCACCACTTTGTCCCCACAAAACGGGGGAATTATTCTTTTTTTGGGCGGGGAGGTTTAGTGCTGAGCCCATGAAAGGAAAATTCAAATTAAAGGAAGAGAAAAAAAGAGGAAAGGGGGGAAAACAGGAGAGCAAATTAAAGAAAAAAAATTAGGAAGAACAGCGAAGAAAAAAGGAGGGAAAAAAAGTTGCTGACAGGAACATGTCTGCAGAGCTTTTTTCCACAATCCCCAAGTGACTAAAATATTAATTTACCCTCCGGCAGTACAGCTGACAGCGAGCTGCTTCTCAGACAGCAAGTGGCATTTTATTAAAAAATAAAGGAAAATAGTTCCCTCAATGACCTTTCTCTGCTTTAGGAAACAATTTTTCAAATAATAATTTTAAAAGTATGTGAAAGTTCCCCTCCCTCTTTAATCAGATCACTTCGTCCTACTCCCTCGTTTGCTCTTGGGTAGAAGAGAACATTGGCAGTGCTCACATACCCGTGGGCCAGCAGCCTGCGCTGGCCTTTCCACACCCCGGGGAAGGAGGCTGTGGGGCAGCCCAGTGCCACAGGGTGCTGCCAGGCAAAGCCTCCCCTCCACGACCCCACACTGCCTGCCATGAGCTGACCATGTGCAGCAGGAGACTGTGGAGGTACCCTGTGCTCCTGAGGGAGCCCAATGTCCCTCTTCTGGCAGGGCTGGGCACAGGCATACCTGCCCCAGGGCTAGGTGGCAGCAAGAAGAGCTCAGGCTGCCCCAGGGGACTTTCTCATTCCTGTCTTTTACCCCTCTCACAGTGCCGCTGCCCCTTGCAGCTCGGGGAGCTGCAGGGACAGAGAAGCACAGCTTGCAAGAACCGAACAGGAGACAGGTCCAGTTTGTGGACTGTACCAACACCGCCTCCAAACCCACAGCTGGGACAAACAGAGCTGGAGCGTTGTTTAGTGCTTAGGCTTAGGCTGCTGTATGGCCTGCAAGTACTGGCCGAGCTGCTTCTTCATTTCCATTTTTAATACAGTGCCTCTCTCTTTTCAGCCTACAATAAACTAGGTAATACACATGGCAACACTCTTCCTTCAGAACTGGTAAGAGCCTACTCCATTTGTGGGCAAAGCTGTGTTTCCTGCCTCTCTTCTGGCCACGTGGGTATAGCCAGGCTCCACAGGAAACCATGCCAAGACTGCCCTCTTCAAGGGTTAACTGGACATGACCAAATGTATTCTCCTACTTATGTTCCTTTAACTACCTCCTCCCCACCTCCAGTCCCATGGACAACTGGGTGGCTTCTCATTCACTCTCCAAGTCATCAGGCACTGCTCTTCCTCCCACCATGAGCACAACTGATGAGGGTAACTCACCTGCTTCAAGTGCCACAGAGGGCTTCAGTGCAGCTGCTGCCAGCCTGGCCATCATAGGAGAGATTAATCCCTTGCTAGCAGAGATCCTTTCCATTATAGATGCTGCTGGAGCTGGAGAAGAAGTAGCTGCTGGCTCTCCAGATCCTGAAATGGCCTGGGATGAAGAATCCGTAGGAGCAGATGATGTTGGATTGGTGCCAGAAGAACCAGCAGTCATCAGATTCGCTGAGCTGGCAGGAAGTGGTGTAGAGACCCGACTGGGGATGATGGGGAAGAAGGATCCAGCTGTTCCAGGAAGCGCTGAGTTGGAGAGTGCCAGGGCCAAGGGTATATTGCTGGGGAGAGCCTGGGAAAGCAGGCCAGAGATCTTGGTGGCTGGTGTCATGCTGTTGGCAGACTTGCTGGCCTGTGAGGAAGTGAGCTCAGCAGCAGAGGAGGGTGCAGCTGGGACTATGAGAGAAACGGAAGACTGTTGACTGGTGGGGGAGGCACTCAGGCTGGAGTTCTTTGAGCTCATAGCAGAGAAGTCAATAAGGTCATCATTACTGGACTCCTCTTGCTCATTATCCTTGGATCCCAGGAGAGAGGCAGGCAGGCCCAGCACTCCTGAGCTCCGGATGTGCCGACGCTCATGTTTGCGTTTATGGGAGGTCATCTGGCTGGTGGAGGTGAAGGTGAAGCCACAGCCTGCCCTTATGCAGTGAAAGTGGTTGGTGGCCTTGCTGTAGACACAGCCCTCATACTTGCATTCCTCATACTTGTAGAACTTCTTGAAGCCATCCTTGGCGTAGGCATCATCTTTGATGTGGTAGCTCTTGTGCTTCTCAATGTCACACTTGTTCTTGAAGGTGAATGTACACCCAGGTCGCCTGCAAGGGCATCGAGGAGGAGAGGGTGGTTGGCTGTGTGGGCTAGGAGCACAACGCAACTGCTGTCACCTGCCTCCCTCTGGGATAAGGACCAGAGCCACTATGAGACAATGGCCCTGGCTGCAAAGGGGCTAAGGGCCTTTATGTGGATTAACCTGTGACACCAAGGCAAGCAAAAATGCTGCCATGTGAGAGAGCTGGGAAGCTCACTCCACTCTGAGGAACAGCCACAATAACATGGGGATGCAGGCACCCACCAGTAAAAGTTCCAACCAAAAGAGCAGTTAAAGGGGACTAAGGCACAAACTGTGCTTTCCTACTCTTCCTGAGAACAGAAGAAATCAATAGAAGAACATTTGTGCACAGAAGGCAGAGTCTGGCCCTGAAAGGGATGAGCTGGCTGACTGTTGGCTGGAGAGAACTCTAGTATGGAAGTGCCATTAGCAGTATATTAATGGCCTACTTCAGCTGAACTCTGAAAAGCACTGTGATCTCTTTCCCAAATGATTCTAGGATGTATTTTCTAGTGGGTACACTTTCCTCAGATCACACTCCTGCCTTCAGAGTGGTCTGTGGCAAGATCCTGGAAATCAGATCTGCCCGGGAGCCTGAGCTCTCTCAAGAGCAGTACTGAGAAGGTCACAGCAGAGAAAATCAAGTCCCTGTGTATACTACTCAATTTATGACTTGGCAGAAGGAGGCAAACAGATCACGCCACTCTGAGGCAGGATTCCTCCCCTTCCCTGCTGTCTCACCTGCAGTGAAAGTGAGTGGTTTTCTGCCCGTAGAACTGGCATTCCACAGTGCCGCAGTCCTCCGTGGCACGGAACCGCTGAAACCCATCGTTAATGAGCTGCGTGTTTTTCTTGTGAAAGTTCTCATGGGTCATGACGTCAGAGGTGCTTGTATAGACCTTGTTACAACCCACCTAGCCCAGGCCAAAACAGGGAGTCATCAGTACAATGTTTTAACAGCCTACCATTATTACCAGCAACAATAAACATATCAGCAGCACACACACATTTAATAGTTCCATTTGTGCACTTCTCCTAGGAGTATTAAGTCACCACTTTAATTCCCAATCTAAAGACTGATAGAGCGGCTGAGAAAAAAAAAAAAAACTCTCTGGGCAGGAAACGGAAAGAAAAAAGGGGAGGATGCAAAGGGATAAAAGACAAGCTATAGATAATCATGCCTGCTTAGGGAGGCAGAAAGCAGGGTTCCTGCTCTTAAGGAGAAAAGAACACTGACAGATGCCATTACTTTGTGTTATCTTGGAGCGACATGGAATGAAGTAGGACTTTCACCTATTTGGGGAATACAAAATTGAGTGGGAACGAGTTATTTACCTCTTTAGTGCTTCTGAGAGGTAAGGCAGAGTGGTGCAACCTGAGGCCAATCTTTTGAGCTTGTAATATACGGGTTTCATTCTAGCAAAGTATAAACCCTATGTTCAGCTGATCTTAGCAAACCGGTGACTTTTTTCCCCCGTCACTGTTCAAGACTACCACTTCAATAATTTTAAACTCATGCAGCAAATGGGAATGGTGTGACGAGAACGGAATGCTGAAAACCTGCCTTCCTCTGGGTAAAGCGGGCAACTTTGCCATATTGAGTAAAAAAACCCTGGAATCTGAAAACGTCCTCAGCCCTGCTGAGGGAGGATTTTTTTTTTTCTTTCCTTCTCTAGCACGACGTGTGCCAATGCCTGCACCATCTCAGAAGTGGAGAGAACGAAAACACCACCTCTTAGTTCAGCCCAGGTTGATTCAAACAGGCAATAACAAAACCCATGACGAATACCCAGAAAAAAAAATAAAAAGGGTCTCCAGCTATTTCCAATATAAAAGAGCCTCTCTCTCCCCGCACTGACACCTTGAAAAAAGACAGACCCTGCACGGCATTAAAAAAAAGAATTAAACAAAAAGCTCCTTAGGAATAATTTGCAATGCAGCTCTTGGTGCTAAAGCCTAAAAAAATGTCAGTTTATATAAACAACTAACTGAATTTTATCCACACCAATTATGGACATGAAGAAAAAAACCCCATGAGATGGATGGCACAAATTCTGCCATTTAAGCAGTATTTTCTTTAATTGGGAGTTTATATTCAGACACCTTTCCTGTAAGACACTGCTTACGTGGGCATTATTTTACTGGAAGACAGTGGGCACAGGATGGAATTACCCATATATAGTTGTATAAACGAGGGTCTCTAACTCGGAGTGACTTAAAGCTGTGAAACACTCCTTGTACTCTTAAAAGAAAAATAAATTAAATGAATCCCATCCTGGTCAACTGAAGTAACTAAACAATCAATATTATGGAAGCATAACAGAAAATGTCCTCAAGAGAAAGTCACATGAAGTTCCCAATTTATCAAATGTTGTAAGCACATGCTTAAACCAACCCCTATTCAGGACAGTACTTGAGTGCATGCCTAACATTTAAGTATGTGCTTAAGCCCCATTGACTTCAGAAAGCTTACCTGACTTCAAGTTAAACACATGCTGAAGTCTATCCCAGCAAAGCATTTAAGCATGTGATTAAGGCCTTGTGACATTAACTGGGGTCTTAAACTGTTGGGCTAGGGCAAGAAGCGAGACCTGAGTTTTCAGAACAGAAAAGCTTTCACCAAGGGTTGCTGTTTGTAACTACAGCACATTCTCATGACAATGGTTTAGGCCATAATTCTAATAAAACAAGTACAAATCAAACCCTCTAATCTGAAGAATGATCAGGGAAAGACCCAAACAATCTGGTGTGTCCATGTCTAAAAACAGTAAAGGCATCACAGTTACATCTATGAGGCAACTCCAATTCCGGTTACGCTGCTGTTGAAGCCTGGCTGGCTCTTGAAACAAAGCTCCCAGCCTACAGCACAGACAAGTAAACTCCAGTACCACTGGTGAAGGAGATGGGAGAACCAGGGGTGTTAAGTCTAGATATGTGACATTCAAGTTTATTTACTTTAGAAATTGATTATGGAGGAAATTAACCCAGTGTTAAAGGGCAGATGTGTCACAGAAAAGTCTGATTTCAAGGGAGTGACAGATCAAATTTGGGTAGAGGCAGTGCAGTGGCATCGCAGAGAGGTCCCTGAATCTCAGAGAATGGGACTTGTTTGAACAAGTGAAGCCCAAGACTGTGAGAAAATCTTGAGACCTGCTTTGCCTCACTGCATGCACAAGGCTTCTAAAAACAGAGAACAGTGCTTCCCTTCACCCCTTCCAACACTTGGCAGGGCAAGTGCAACAAGGACAGGGCACAGACTCTCCGAAGAGGTGTCTGAATCAGAAATGAGCAAGAGAGGCTATGAATGTCACCCCTTTGCCTCAGGACAGCCCCTTGCTCTCTAACAAGGAAGTGTTGGGCTGCCTGAACTCAAGAATCCTTTCAGTCCACCCCAAAAAGGACACAGCTCACACAAGGGTTCTTCATTCACCTCATGTGCTACCACCTATTCCCCAGTCCAGCTGTTACCTGCATGCAGTGGTAGTGTGTGCTTTTCCCATTCAGGTGGCAGCCATGATAGTACACGCTACAGTCATCCAAGGGGCTGAAGCGCATGAAGCCGTGCTGGAGGGAATTATCACGTTTCTTGTGCATGTTGTAATGCCGAATCACATCCTGTTTACTAGTGAATCTCTGGAGAGATAGAGAGACAGACAGTGAGACAGACAGTGAGACACACGTGATGGGAGTGGGTGAGTAATCCTGAGGGCTGGGTATTTTTTTGTTGTTGTTGTTAATAAAACTTATGGTACCAAGAGTTTAAAGCTCAGCAGTAATCACCTCAAGAGAGTCAGATTAAAGAGGAATTGTGTGCATGTATCTTCTGGTAAAGGGAAAGTATCTACACATGAAAAGTTGTAGAGTAAACATTACGCTGGGGTGATGTCCAGAATACACTCACTGCAGCTTTAAGATTGCAATTCTTCTAACGTAATTTTAGCTGCTACTATCTCAAGAACTGCTATAGTTAGAAAGCAAACCAGTGAACTAAACAGCCTACAAGAGAGTAATCCAAGCTTCCAAATCACTCGCTGTAGTGGTCAGCAAGACACTGGCTGCCGTCGGACTAGAAACTGGGAAAAACACTCTGCTCTTCTATAGCATCTTCCCATTGTAAGTCTTCTGCCTCCCCTACAAGGTAGGATGGCTTTATTAGGAAAACGGGGAGACAGAACTTTCTTCCAGTCACAGAAAAAGATGGTAGTAGAACTTAGAGCTAAATCTGTATGACCAGAATATCCTTTTCATCCTCTACCTGCTTGAAGTAATGAAGGGGTACCCCACTGTCAGAGCAGGCTAAGTGCCTTTAAAATGAAGCTTTTCATTTCTATTTCCCACAGACATCAATATTTAACAGTGAAGGTGGGAAAGTAAATCTGATTTTTTTAAAAAGAAATCAATATCCATTTATTTTGAGGAGTAATTGAAAAGGCCTGTATTCTAATGTTTAACAACTTTTCCAGTCTCCCTCACAGGAAACAAATGATTATCGCTTCCCCTCTTTCCTCCTATAATATCAATCCTGATCAATCTCATTGGTATTGGCATGGGAATATTTGGATATAGATTTCAACAGGAATCCCTTGGAGGCTGGAGGTATGATTTCCCAGGGCGTACATACAGGATTGCTATTGCCAATCATCGTTAATTTGTGCCCACTTATTACAGAGCGTTACTTATTCTAAAATATATCTCAGCCATAAAATAATTTGCATTTTAAAAAGCAGCCTAAATCCTTATTCCCTGCGAGACCAGACAGCTCCTTTGCAAGCAGCTTCCAGACTCCTTAGGAAATAATCATGAGGCCAATCATAATAATAGTTTTTGCAGTCTTTCCATCCTTTGTGTTTCTTTCTGGTGCAGAGATACCCATGTCACAGTTGGGACAGACTCATCTCGATTACCAAATGCTGGGCTAGGACCACCACTACATGTATCCCAGAGACAAACTCTCCTTTGAGCAATAGAATCCCCCAGTCAGGCTCAGCAGATCTAGATCAACTTCCTATGCTGTGGTCAGACTCATTCCTTTGAGACCCAAGGGATTCCCCTGGGGTAGAGCTGAAGTTGTGTCTGATGCACAGTAGAGGCAAACTCTGGGATTCCCACTTACACACACGCAGCCTGACCACAGAAATGGCAGTGTCAAACTCACAGACCTGGGAAGAGGGTAAACAAACACAGCACGTGACTCTGCTGGCCTGACGTCGCTACCCTGGCAATTCTCCCAGTAATTACAGCATCGCACACGCTCCTGCCCCCACGCTTTCCCCACAAATCCCGGACTGCTGCTGGTCTTATTGGGTGTTTTGTTGCAGATACTGCTGCTACAATGTCACTCGGGCAGCAGGAGGGAAAGACACAGACTAACAGATCAGCATTCCCTAGTTTCAGGCACAATGTGTAACACAGCAGAATTTATTCTCTTGGTTTCACTGATGTAAATCTGGAGCAGTTCCCACTGACTTGAGCTGATCTATATTCTGCTCTTCGTTACAGTGGTCTGGGTTTGGTTAAATGGTATTAGATTGGGTTAAATGGGAACAATATAGGATTCTAGTAAGTTCAAAATAGATCTTGCCCTCTTTCAGAGCAGAAAAGTGAAGAGGCATGTGCGTGCATGGGGGAGGAAAACACAGGAGGACACGAATCTGCCCTAGGTTGTACCCTTTACATTCAGGTAGCTGTGCTGATAACTTTTTACCATTCTTTTACCTGGTAGTTGCACTCTGGGTCAAGGCAGTGGTAATGTTCTCGATACTGGTATGCACAGTGTATATGTCCACAGTGCTGACTGCCAGAGAACCTGCAAACATCAGAGGAGGACAGAAGAAAGAAAGGGAGGGACAATGAAACAGTGTCCTGACAGCAGTGCCTATAAGCAAGGTATGTTTATGGCATTAAACCCCATCTCCTTTATCCCTTCCAAAGATGGTGACCTTCCCACCTTCCTTTTCTTATTTGTCACTATTTAAAGGCGCCTCTTGAGCAGGATCATTCAGGTCTTGTACATCCCTAACCTGTCTGTCTTTCCCTTTGAAATTCAACTCCATTATCTAAGTTGCTTACCTGGGGAAGAGTAAGAAAGGAGGGTTCCTTGAATTAAATATACAATTCTAAAATTCTCATGTGTGAGTTTAGATACCACAGCACAGAGTATCAGGACGAGACAAATAAACGTTGGTGAAATATGGATTCTAAATTTTGGGTATACACCCATCTTGTAGGACCTCAGAAAAGCTCAGGCATTCATTTGTTTGTATGAGTCATGTCTCGACTTTTTTTTAATCACAGTATGGCATCACACTACAGAGAAGATTGCAAACCAATAGATTAGATGGTAAGCCACACAGATAGAAGATGATCATGGCAAGATTATATAGGAACTTTCAATAAGAGGGACAGATCAATGGAAAGATAGGTGAGATGGATCAACAAGAACAGAATGAAGTGTTACAGACAGACCATCTCGACCCTGTGTGCACATCTTGTCCCATGCACGACAGCCCTGCTAAACGTTATTTTCCATGTGGATGCAGTATTTGCTCACAACAAAAAATAGTGCAATGCAAAAGAACAGTGTTTTCAGCCTGCCTTTGAGTGCAATTAAAAAGTAGGACACAAGAAGCAACAGCCAACAACATGCACCTAATCCATTTCTGCAGGCCACCACTGAGCATTCTGCACAGCAAATTTGGAAACTCGTGACATACAAGGGTGGAAAAAATACCCAGAAAGACCATATAATGTCTACATACAAATGGACAGTACACAGAATGTATTGACAGATAGACACATCAGTAATTAGCAAAAGGGGATGATCCAGTAACAGGCTAATCGGTGCAATGAACTCTGATGTATATTCTAGAGGACCCTGGAAGAGCTGAAGACCTTGAAAGGGAGAAGCAGTGGAAAGAAGGGGACTCAGAGGGGAAACATTCAAAGATAAAGTACCATCTGCTCAAAGGTTCCTCAAAGGTTCCTCACGTCACTTAGTGCTAAACACAGCAGGAGTGCATATGATAAAGGGCATGGGAGAGAAACAAGGAAGGGCAATGGGTAAAAAGGAAAAATGAGAGGAATGAGGGTGTCCTGGGGCAATCAAGGAATGGGGCAGGAGCAGGGAAGATTATGGTTCATCATAAGGTGAGGTAACGCTAAGCTACAGGATAGAAAAAGCTGAGATGAGAAGCAGTAGTAAATAAGGTATTTCTGAAGCACAGTAAGGAAGAGGAGGTCAACTGTGGAGACAGCAGGGCCTCTAGGAGATGGAAAGGGGACTTAATTGACAGAAAAGATAGACATTGCTAAAAAATTAAATGACTTTTTTGCCTCAGCATTCACAAAGGGAGACAGGGACAGATGCCAGGAGCAGACATGCCTTTCCCTGGGGAAGGAGAAGAAATACTGCAGGAAATCAGGATCACGTCAGAACAAGTGATTGAGAAACTAGAACAAACCTCAGCAGCAGAGAAGAAACAAACCACAAGGCAAACAGCAAGGCTGGCTGCACAAACAAAGGTGTGGAACCGAAAACAGAGGAAGCGATTCCTACTCGATGCCTGGGCAACTGTGAGGCTAGTACAGGGCATAGGCAGCAGCCTGAGTCACCGTGGCATTAACCAGGTACATGCAGGTCGGCAGCAGAATGAACCAACTGGTCCTGCTAGTCCAGGCTCTGTCAGCAGCTTTAAAGGAAAGAAACTGTTCTGTGGAAAGCTTTCTCCCTATTCCACTGGTGACACTGGGAAGAAAGAGCAAAGGGCTGTGCAGGGCTGGAGAACTGGGAAGCGCTGGCCAGGCAGAGAGAAGAGGAAGGTATATACACCTCTGAAGCAAAGCAGTCAAAAATACTATCAAAAGTGAGGATGCAAAATGACCAGAGATGCCAAAAGCAGTAAAAGAAGGGCCAGACACCGAAGAGAGCTGACTGTATGGGATGAGTTACTTGAAGCATCCTAGCAGGAGTAACCTGTGGGCTCAGCTTTAAAAGCAACAGCTAAACAAGCACTCTAGCACTTCAAACTCCTACCCTCCCTTCCACGTGCCACAGAAAGGTGTATGTGTGTGTGGTGTCTATAGTGCAGGAAGGGAGAGGCAAGTGTTCTACCAAACCGTGTGCTTGGGGAAGGAGGGAAGAAGCAAACACAGCACAAAGGGGAAATTCTGCTCTTTCAGTCTGTAAGGTTAGGCTCCTAAAGGGTTATATTTATCCCGTGTTTCTTCTGACACTTGAAACAGTTCAAAGCTATTAATTTTTAAAGCACAGCATCTGTTTAGCTTTTTCATAACAGGAAAGCTTACGCACCACACACTTACTTACACGCATACACACGCGCACATTTACATGCACATACTCTAAGGTACATCAACACCCCTCTTAATTTACATGAACGTACCCACAATTTCCATGCACACAATCAGATGCAAACACACACACCTGAAACAAGGAACCTCACAGACCAGACCATTTAATCACACTGATATGCAAATCCGAACTCCTAAATTGTCCATACAGGCATATAGATTCATTTTCACAAGAACAACCCCTTCCCCCTTCCCTTAATTTAATCAGTTCACTTTTTTTTTCCCCCCCAGAAAGAACTAGTCTTGATCTGGCAAGAGTTAGAAAGAAAAACCAAGATAAATAAATAATAATAAAAATAATAAATAAAGAAGTCAGCATGCTTAGAGAGTGTTTACAGACTCATTACCCTGTAACGATGATGCGAAAGAAGGAAGAAAAAAAAAAAAAACCCACCCCAATTACAAGGGGGGAGGAAACCCACACAGAAATAAATATTTAAGCAAGTGCTGCCAGAAGCACCATCTGCTGAGGCACTAATAATAATAATAATAATTTTTTCTGTGGTCTTTTTTTTTTTTTTTTTTAATTATAAATATACAGGGGGGGAAAAACAACCCAACCCAAACTAGCTAAGTAAGAGGTTTTGTTTTGTTGTGTGAGAGAGTGGATTATCCCTGGGCAGCTTTTGGCAGTGGCTTTGGCAAACTCATTAAGCTAATTATGCAGTACAGACATAGAGTGTCATGTCTCTCTCTCCCCCCCCCCCCCTTGATTTTAAGGCTTTAAACTGTTTTTAAAATTGTGTGTAAATTGAAGGGAAGTGGCTGTGCTGCCAACGGGCGGCTTGCGGAGCTTTTTAAGCAGGATGTGGTGTCCCTTAGCTATCTCACGAGCCTCCCTCAGTTACCTGCCTGACCCAGGGGAAGGGGCTTGCAGAGCGCTACCAAGAGTGGATGTGGGTGAAGTGTTTATACAGTCCTCTGCTTGAGAGAGGAACTGGAAAGGGTGGCATCTTCTCTCTCACTGCAACCTCTGCGATTCCTGCAATCTCGGCAATAAAAGGGTGCTGCTCCTTCTGCCCCATGCAAAGATGGGTTTAAACCCCTGCCTTCATTCCTGTACTCTCCCAGGAGGCAGTGAGCTGCCACATGCACTAGAGGCATTGCTGCTTGAGGAGCTGCACATGGTGGTGCAACTGTCCTCTCTTCCCGTGTGGTCTCCTGCCCCCTTCTCCTACATCTGGGATTTGGGCAAAAGGGATGGAAGGGAAATCACCTCTTGTTCCACTCTCCAGCTAGGGAGAGCACTGTTCCCACCCTTTTCCCCGGCTGATGTGCCAAGATCTTCCTTTGCACCTTCCTAGCAGCTGACTACTTCCCACAGAGAGACTCTCTGTAGACTCTGGCAAGGTGGGAAAGCACAGTACACAGTTCCCTCCCCCAAGCGCTGGTGGGAACAAACCCTTCAGTTTAATCTCTGGTGAGAAATATTTGCTTGCTTTCCTGACTGATGTGTTTCTGTATACAAGGGGCTTTCGTAGTGAGCTTCCTCACAGTACAGATGGAGGATTCAACAGGCCAGGGGCAAAGGCTGATGGACCCTTTACACTATAAAACAGGCAGGTGCTATGCAATAATCTTCTCCATCCCTCTGGCTCTCATGGTATTACTCACTCTGTCTCACCACAACAGCCTTGGGCTCCTTCTCAGCATTGCTCATTCCTGACCTAAGCTTGCCCAGAGCTGTGATAAGGTGCCCTAGTCTGCACCTTATTCAGTGAGGGTTTCTCATATAAATGAGCTGCAAAATATTCTAGGATAAACATCCCACATTGATGCCAAGACCTGCCTAAACTCAAGCCATTTGTGAATTCCTCCAGCCTAGATTCTCAGGGGTGAGATGTTCTCTGCTTGCCCTCCTGCAGGCACTGGACATGGTAGGGGAAAAAGGCAGGAGACAGCACAGCAATGGACAGAAACAATGACAGTCAAGAGAGAGTGCTCCCATTGAAATCCTGGACTTCTACAGTGAAACATTTTTCCACTATTTATCACAAAGTCTAACAGCTCTGGGTAGCCGAGCAAGCTCTTGGCATGGTTGTACACCTCTCTCAGCTACTGCTCTCCCAAGCAGGGGAACAGAGCAAGTACAAATGCCAGAGGGAAATGGAAGTGCCAATGACCAGTTTAAACACTTGATCCAGATGGGCAAGACCTCATCTCTCCCACCACCACTCCACCCTCTTACTTCTAGCCTTCTTCCCAAGAAAGTCAAGAGTTTTGCTTACCTGGCAATATACTTCTGGTAAATATTTACGTCTTCGCTGACAGCTGGTTTGTCAGTGGGTAATCCGTTCCTAATGAGAAACACACAGGGCAGAGCTGGTTAGCAGGCAGGAACAGGGCACAGTCTAAGCTCCTTGTTTCTCTCGCACACCACTGACACATCAGAAGAGAGGACCCACAGAAGACACCCTTGGGTTTAACCTTCCTCCCCCTTCGAATCCTGTACCTTCTTTTCCTAGGGAACCATACAGTCCACCTACCACTGCATGTACCCTCTTTGCAGGACTCAGTTCAGTTTACTGAAGACACTGAGAAGACCAACCATGAAAACCTGTTTTCCCACAGAAAAAACTGAATACCCATACACAAACAAGTGATGGCCACATGAAAAACACCTCCCTGAAGCACCTTGCAACACTGCTCTTATGTGCATGGAAGGGCCATTGAGACACGTCTGCCGCAGGCTCAACTGTGGGAGAAGTGTCTCTGTGCTTCACCCATGCTGTGAGTTGCTGCACATTTCCTACAGCCAGCAGGCACACTGTACTCCTACTCGGTCCTGGCAATGTGGCTACAGCCCCCTAGCTGGGGCTTTAATTCTCTTTTTTCACACAGATACCCCAACTCCAATAGACAGATGGGGCAGCAAAGGTATTTCTGTATTTTAATCCAACTGTCACAGAAGCCTGGGTTACTTAACATCATTAGGAAGTAGACAAAAATTACATCCTCAATGAGTTCAGCAAGAGGAAAAATAGAGATACAGGGCTGGACTCCAGCCTACCTAAGAGACAGTGGCATACCAACACAATCCCTGACAGGCTGTACGCGGTCTTCCTTCTCAGTTTTGCCCCCACTCAGCCTCCATCCCTACTCACGACAGCTCTGCAGCCTGGTTTAAACACGGACACTTCTGCACAGAATGCACTTGAAGTAGGTAGATTAGTTCAGGGCAGATTAATAGCATTAGGTGGTAGAGAGTTTAACCCCATGGCTAGGGTATATGTGCATAAGTGTGAGAATAAGGGGTAATTCCTGCCAGGTTATTTGGTCCCAGTGGGGACTGTGAATGGGAAGCCAGGTCCCAGATACCACAGTTAGCACTTCCTCTATCAGCACAACTAATGGGCTGCTTTCTTTTATCACGAAAGCCTGTATCTGCAGCCTGAAGGAAAAGGGACCAGAGGCCCTTCTATACTCCAATGTGTGATCAGGACACTGGGAACTGCCAGGTTGAAAGCCCTGGTCACTTCCATTCCTGTTGCAGCCCCATCATGATGCCCCAGTTGAGGAAGTCCTGTGGCTAGAAGAGGGATCACCACGGTGCTGCAAACCCACATCTGCAAGGGGCAGGAAATGAGAAAGAAAAAGGAAATCCAACTGGGATCCCAGAGCAACACCAAAGCAGATAAGAGGCTCACAACCCCCCAAGCGCAGCTCTAGGATAGCCACTGAACTCCAAGAAATCAAGCATTCTGCAGATTCTTCAGGCACAGAGCCCCTGGCCAAATCACCCACCACAACAAGGCACTGTGCCTACAGGAACATTTATACCACTGTGTTTTTAGTAACAGGAGTCCCTGCCTGCCATCTGGAGCACATACGGGCTTCATCCTGAGTGGGGGCCAGATGCAAATGTGAATAATCCTCTGCCCTTTCTCATACACCTTAACCATAGAGCTCCCAAATCTATCTGCAGGCAGTTGGGAAATGACTGTTTCACACGGAAGACAGGTATCATTAGCTCTGCCTTTCAGGTGGGGAAACATGGGAAGTGAGGGACGCAGACTTGCCTGAGACTGCAAAGAGCATTTGAGTGAGGATTCAGCCCAAGGCCTCCTAGATCCACATATTAAACACAGAACAGCCTTCCTCCTTACCAAAGAGCAAAGCAGTACCGTGCACATGATGGCATTTGCCACCAGAAGTGCAGGCCAGAGGTGCTAGACTTAGTACAAATGACCCCACGGGATTCACAGCTCACAACCAGCCCCAGGTCCACAGTGAGAAACAAGTAAATCCAAACCATGAAGAGAAAGCAGAGAAGTCCCTCCCTTCCTCCCTGTTTGCAGCCTCACGTACATAGGTAGCTTTTCTACAGCTACCACCTCTGGAAGCCACATTAAAAAATAATCCAAGGTTTGGCAAGGCCTTCAGAGATCTCCATTCAGTCAATGGCATCACTGCAGAGATTGCCAGCAACGTATGTGTAGGAGGTTATTAGTGGTAATTGGGCTAATGAGTTTGCCCAGTCTGAGGGGTAATTGAATCACCTCTATTTGTGTAAGAACAAGCAAATTGAGAAGACACAGGCCTGGCCCCACAGAAGTGTGCATATGCCTAAGTCCTGTGATGGGAATTAGGCACCAAAATGTCTTCTGAGTTGTGGGACAAACAAAAAGCCCTATCTTGCTAACAGTAAAGTCAGCAGAGTTTTTGCCACTGGGTTAAATGGAAGCAAGAATCAGATTCTCCTACAGACACAGCTGGATACCTGAGGAACCACAAGGAGAGAGTAGTTACAACCTTGACCTTAAGAGTGCTGACAGTTCTCCTACAGACACAGCTGGATACCTGGGGAACCACAAGGAGAGAGTAAAGTAGTTACAACCTTGACCTTAAGAGTGCTGACAGCACCATGTTCCCTCATCTTTCATTTTAACATATGAACCCACGAGCTAGTGGGGCTCTAGATTCATGGCTGTGACTGACTGCTGATGGCTGGCCACATCCTTAGTGCAAGTAAGGTAAATAGAGATGTAATGTGCAAGAGAGAAGCAGACACTCCAACAGAGAGCAAAAAGAAACATCACACGAACAGTGCAGTATTTATCATCACACAAACTGGAATTGCCCACTGATCCACACACAGACTTTAGCTATGATCCCCCACTAATACAAACATAAGAAAAGTGGGAGGACACTTACTTTACTGTAGAGACTGTTCCAGTTGTGATGGAGTCTGTCTTGGAGAAAGTTGATTTCAGGTACTCAGGAGTGTTGAATGGCAATGAGACGGACTGCTCTGGCCCAGCCACAGGAGTGCTGCTGGGGGTACTGGCGAGGGGAGCAGGGGCCAGGCTGGGTGTTGGAGCTTTTACTGGAGTAAGCTTCTGAATGTTCCTCACATCATACTTGGAAGGCCGGCCTACCTTGCCTGTCTTGAAGGCGATGGCTCCTCCCATATCTGGGCTTCCTTCTCCAGGCTTGAAAAGGTGCAAGTACTTGACATTTTCTAGGTCGTATTTGGAGGCCTTCTTGTAAGTGTTGCCATTTTGTGGCCTGATGCTCTCACCCGTCTTCAGCTTCTGAATGAAGAAGTCATATTTGGAGGCCCGTGACATCAGGCCCTGCATCTGGGAACTGCTGGGAGAGGGCAGCGGCAGGATGGTGGCTTTGGTCTCCGTCAGCATGGAGGCATCTGGACCTGGCACCCGAATGGGCTGTGCCAGCACTGAGGAAGTTTCTTTGCCCAGCTTGGAGCCCAACTCCTCAGATTTGGCCAAGTGCATGGGCCAAGAGAGCTGTTCTCCAGCTTTCAGTTTGCGGATGTACTCCTCATACTTGGAGAAGCGGGCTCGTTTGCTCATGGCATCCTCGCCGGGCAGAGAGGCAGCAGTCGCAGTGGCCTCTGAGGTAGCAGCATTCAGTTTGTCAAAGCTGATCTTGCGGGCCAGCTCATCCCGCATGTTCTGATCATCATAGCCGAACATGCCCAGGAACTCATTCATGGTGGTGGCGGCATAATCTCGCAGCGATGAAGCTTCCCCTACAGAGAACCAAAGTGAGAGTCACGCAAGGCGTTGATTTTTCTTCTCCTCCCATACCAGCACTAGTAGCAGGGAGGGGGAGTAAGGGGAGAGGGGAACATGATCTACTGACGTTTGGCTCACTTGTTAGGTTTTACGACTCTTAAATTAATTTGTTTAAAAAAAAAAAGTAATTAATACTGGGGTAAAATAAAAAGAGTTCATCAATGCCAGGAAAATCAATTTCCTAAATGTTCTAGCCGATGGCTTTTCAGTACATTAAACAAAGTTTCATAAATGTCTCTGCACTCTTGCCTTGGCCTAATATGAAGAAAAAGTAATTTTACTGGAAGTGAGACCATTGCCAATATGCCAAGGTTTGTACAGTTCTGTCCTTGTGTGTGTTTGTATATGGAAGGAGGTGCACAGAGGATAGATGGCAGTATGTCTGCGTATGTGTGTGGGGGGGTAAAAACATGCGAGATATTCTATGTGTGTTGGTGAACAGCAGGGCTGAGAGCAGGCAGGACAGCATGGTGTGAAATAGATAAGGGAGATAGGGGAAGACAACGTGTGGGGTGGAGCAAGAGGAGGGCAGAACGGAAAAGTGCAGAGTAGAGAAGGAAAGCAGCAGAGGTG